GATTACTGCCATTTGAATCAAAAGTATTTTGTTTTTCTTAATGTATATTATTGTCATATCTTTTGATTAAAATTATGTTCAAAATATTTCTGACTTTTATTTTATGTCTCGGAATCCATGTATGGATTCTGGAGATCAGCCATCGATTGCACAGGATATCCATCATTTCAAACTCGATTACTACACATTAAAAACATACAATTGATTGCATATTTCAATGCCATTCCCAATTCATTGGTCTACTATTAGATGGTATACTATGGGATACGTCTCTGAACTGGCAGTCAGTGAATGTTGAGTTGATTAAAGTCGCGAGCCTTTGGATACTGTTTTTAAAATGTTTCCGATTCTCTAAATAAAGGCACACTTTTGCATAAATTAATATCGCTTTATCATAAATATTTCATTATTGATAGTACACTGACTACTATTTATTCCTTTTTAAAAACCAAATATCCTGACTAGTTTAGCATTAACTGATTATAATAAGCTTGATTATATAAGTTACTATTTTTAAATTATAAAGTTTACTAAATTTAGTTATTATGTATTCGATTGCTTTAATTGTTTGTATATTTTATTTGCCACATCACACGCTATGTGAAACTACTAAGGGTAAGTGCTATTTTAATTTATACATAGATGCAACAAGCTAGTTTTTAGCTAATTAACTATAGTGGTGTCCATTTAATAAGAATATACTTAAATATAAATATTTGTTTTATTAGTAATTTATCGTCCAATTCAAATTAATATCTCATGAATTTGTTTTATGATGGCTTATAGGTCCTATCATAATACCAGACTGGGACATATTACTGTATAATAACACATTTAAGTATGAGTACAGTAATGACCGAAAAGTGGACCTGTATTGCAGTTTTCCCCGAACCAATTACATCACATTATACTCGATTAAAATGTATAAAAACACAACCTTGTTATACTCGATAATTATGACAAACAACAATGGTGAGTCGAGTGAACAAGGGCAAAAATAAGCAATAGCACACTAATAATGATCAATTTATAGGTACGGGGTGTTTATCAACGAGCTCTGCCCGACAAATGGACTCAACTATACGCCTACATCAAGATCACGTGGTCATAACCATACCTCACCCCACCGATACGACCATGGGCAATTATTCGTGTCAATTCAATTACCTGGATATTACCCATAATTCCCAATTAATTTATTCCTCTTTACTGAATATATGCAATAAGAAATCGTGCACTCGTTTGCATATCCGACAGGGCACGATCAGCCCTTATACCGGTAAACAGGATTATAACCACGATAATTATACATACTATGAATCGTGTGTGTATAGCACAAACGGGAGTGCCCAGGTGACATTAGTTACCGCTGATAGCACAAACGGGAGTGCCAAGGTGACATTAGTTACCGCTGTGTTTAGTGCATGCTTACTTATGCTCGCGCTCACTTAAGTAATAATTTTATATTTGTATATTTTCATACAAAATCTAATATATTTGAGCATGTTAATGATTTATAATCAAATTGTTCTGCGTTGCAATTTCCAGTTTTAATAATACTGTATAATAATAATATTTCACATAATAATAATAACATATGAATTGAAATTAATCAAATACAGTCTCTCAAATATTTTATCTTATAAGCAATATTTCTGTGCTTTCGACTAAAGTATAAAATCTTACATTAGTATAAGTATACTTTAGTAGAAAGCACAAAAA